AGAGGAAATAGTGGCAATAGAGTATTATAACATAATCATGCTATAGGGAAATTGCAATCGCCAGAAGAGTGATGCTGTGAGGAAAATGGCAGCCACAAGGGTCTGATGGAAGCAAAATGGCACTGATGTCAACAGGACCTTTAAAATGCACCTCTTCCTGTCCAGGTGGCTTGTCAGCACACTTGGACTGTGTTCTTTCCAGAATGATTGTACAAAACTAGATTAGAGAAAGAACGTACCAAGAACAGGAAAAGCCTGGAGAGTGAACCATTGGAGGACACCATCATGTGGCTTCGGTGCAGTTCAGGAGCCAAAATGAAAACAGACTTCTGTGTGGATGCAACCTCTGTCTCTTATTCTGTCTTGCTTTCATGCTTCATTGTTCCCTCACCTGTCTCCCAGGGCTAGCAGTGGTTCTTGGCTTCCCATCCATCCATCCCTCTCTAGCTAGAATACAGGAGAAAGATGCAGAAGGCAAGGCAATGACATACTAAAATGCCACACTGGTCTACTAAGATAGTCAGAACCTGATTAGGGTTTATTACAAAGGACCAAGCAAATCTTAGCCTTGATCAGGGGTCATTTCCTGCAGGAGCGCACAGGATCAGAGCTCCGGCAGTAAAGAGCCCAGGGGGTGGGCACATGCAACAAGCCCCACCCCCTGCTCCCAGCAGCCCTCAGTCAGAGCAAGAAGCAGCCAGGTAAGTTGCAGAGCCCCCCCCCCCCGGTCCAAAACAGTCCAGTGGCACATTTAAGACCAAGTTTTATTCAGGTACAAGCTCTCCCTCCTCTGCAAGGACAGATATGCACGTCCCCCCCCCCAATAGCTAGCAATCCAAAACAGTCCAGTGGTGCCTTCTGACACACTTCTGGTGAGGTCAGGGGGTGAGGCATATGCAAATACGTTATGCTAATGAGTTATGCTAATGAGCTCCTGCACCTCTTTTTCTACGAAATGACTCCTGGCCTTGACTCACTTGTAAGCAAAAAAAAATGGTTTAAACAAAGTAACAAATTGACCTCTTATTAGGGGCACACAAATCTTGAAATGATAGTATCAAAGGTTAGGGGAGGAATGCCATACTTCAGAGCTTGGTCTGTTTGTCTGTCTTCTCTGCTGCCCACATTTATTTATTTATTTATTTGTTTGTTTGATTGATTTATACCCCCCTCCCTGATGAAGCAATAAAACATTAAAACAATAAAACAATAATCATAAAAACACAGTAATATCAAAAACATAAGGTGCTACGTATGGTTGGATAGCAGGAACAGTTCTAATCAGCCGCCGTAGGGCCGGTGCTAGTTGTATGGCTGGCAATTTGGCTCCTGTGTACATCATTCCTCCGTATAAGCAAAGAATTTTAGAACAGGAAGCCAATAAAAAAACATTGACAAAAAAGAAAAGAAAAAAAGAACAGGAAGCCAGGATAGATTAAGGGGCCTAGCTTACTCAGTTGGTGTTATTTAACCCATTTGCTTGAACGCTTGGTGGAAGAGCTCCATCTTGCAGGCCCTGCGGAATTGTGGTAGATCCCACAGGACCCTGATGTCATCCAGGAGCTCATTCCACCAAAGAGGTGCTGTTGTCGAGAAAGCTCTGGCACTGGTCGTGGCCAGCCTGATATCTTTGAGGCCAGGAAGAGTGAGGAGATTTTGAGATCTAGAACACAGGGTCGTCTGGGGAACATATGGGGAAGGCAGTCCCTCATTGTCAGTCCAAACCAATCTCTCCTCCTCTGACTGACTCTGAGATGTGTCCAGTAGCTACCAACTATCAGTGCTCATTGAAGAGCAAATTAATTAACTGAATAGCATTAGTTCTGGAAAAATCAGCTGACCAGCAATACCCAGGGGTCATTTCCTGCAGGAGCGCACAGGAGCGAAGCTCCGGAAGTAAAGAGCCCAGGGGGCGGGCACATGCAACAAGCCCCACCCCCTGCTCCCAGCAGCCCTCAGTCAGAGCAAGAAGCAGGCAGGTAAGTTGCAGAGCCCCCCCCGGGCCCCCGGTCCAAAACAGTCCAGTGGCACGTTTAAGACCAAGTTTTATTCAGGTACAAGTTCTCCCTCCTCTGGGAGGGCAAATCTTCCCATTCCCCCCCCCCCCCGCAATAGCTAGCAATCCAAAACAGTCCAGTGGAGCCTGAGCGATGGGCGTTGCCTTCTGACACACTTCCGGTGATGTCAGGGGTGTGGCATATGCAAATACGTTATGCTAATGAGTTATGCTAATGAGCTCCTGCACCTCTTTTTCTACGAAATGACCCCTGGCAATGCCCATTAGGAAAGAAACAAAGTTAAAGAACGATGGTAATCACAGGTCATGAGCAAGTTCTCCTCTCCCTAGCCTGGGCATTAGGAAGACTCCCCTTAGGCTTTTGTCAGCTGTCCCCAGAGATGGGAAGGGAGGCAAAGACAAATCTCAAGGGCTAAAGTCATCTTGGGGGGCGGTGGAGCTGGAGAAGTCTTCTGATTTGCTTCCATCATGTTTGCATCAGGTATGGGGAGGAGACACAGGAATTTTGGCTTAGGAGCCTGTGGTGGCTTTTGGCAGGCCTTTCTTTAGCATCTGACAGAAATATTAAAGATATTATTCTTACTCCTATCACCACAACCACTTGACAGTGACTGAAAGGATTTTTTTTAGTCATACTTAACCAAAAGGGTTTTTTTTAATCATACCTGTAATTCGCCTTGAGTCCTAGTGAGATAGGTGTCCTGTAAATTAAAATGACAATAATAATTCATACCATGCAGCAATGCTTAAATTGTGAATCAGAAGAAGCTGGTGGGTCAAAGAGCTTGGCAGCCAGCCCCCTCCTTTTGGCTTGGAAAACCTATGCCCCAGTCCAAGATCCGAAAGGCACTCTGCTTGTGCACAGAAACTTTCTCTTGGGTATTATTTATTGATTTATATACCATATTTCTCCCCAACATGGAGCCAAAGTGGCTTACATAATTTTCCTCTCCATTTTATCCTCACAACAACCTTGTGAGGTAGGTTAGGTCGAGAGTGTGGGACTGGCCCAAAGTCACTCAGCCAGCATCCATGACAGGGTGGGGATTCGAACCTGGGTCTCCGAGATCCTAGTCCACTCTAACCACTGCTCCACACAAAAGGGGTTTTAAAACATATTTTACAAATATCTATTTTTAAAAAATGTTTGCCACATTCTTACAAACTTTTACATATATTACATATTCCCAAAATGACTTTTGGCACTGAAAACAGCTTAGCTGTTCTAGAGGAATATTGGAGGATGTGATCTAGTCACGTGAGCCTCCTATGTGGCTGAAGTGAAAAAGGGCAACCTTGACTGAGGCAGAGGGCAGGGATTTGAACAAGAATTGGACAGAGGCCATCCCTTTCCAAAGCCATGTTGAGTAAAACTGGAATATGAGCAATGAAACAAATACTTTTAAAAGAAAACAACATGCTTTGCTATGGAGAGGTAAGAGAAAGGTATGGGCAGACATGAGGCCAATTTAAAGGGAGAATGGGTTTGTTAGGCCTTTCCTGTTCCCTGCCTTGATAGCCTAACCTTTGGACTCCCCCCTCCCAAAGGTGTCATGCCCCTTCTCTTTATGTTTTAATTACTGCCCATTTTAATCTTGATTTGCATGGCGATCTCTCAGAAGTGGGCCATGCCTGGGCTCAGCAAAGCCCTTGTCAGCAACTCCCCCAATAATAAACAGGGGGGAAAAAGCTTAAGGAGCAAATCACTTGCATGTTAATGAGACTGTTTGCTGGAGTCGAGAGAGAAAACAGCAAACAAACAAATGGACTGAATTCCAGCGGCAGCTGTTTGCTCCTTAATCTCGGCTCGTCAGAGCTGCCCTTTGATGAGACACAATCTACACAAACGATTGTGCTAAATCTTCTAATCTACGTCCTCATTATTACATCCCTTCTTACGCATGTAAATCAGGGACAAACTCATTTTAATATGTAGATAGATTATGGGAGGGGAGGGGAAAGGGGAGCTACTAATGGTGTCTGTGTCGGAGTCTAAAGGGGGGTTAGTAATAAGGAGATTGGTGTGGAGGAAGTAGGCTGGGGAGGAGGGGGTCTGTGGAAAGACACCAGGAGGAAAAGTGGAGGGCTTGTTTTTGGCCCAGGAGGGAACAGCAGAAGGGGGGGGCTCTGTCACTCTGCTGGAGGGAGCCAATAAAAACAGGAGCCTTTTGAATGAGAAGGGTCTTTAGCAAAACATACAATTCAATTAAAAAGCCTGTGACAGCCTCTGCTGGGAGGGAGGGAAGAGGAACACACTACACTTTGGATAACTATTCACTCTATATATATCAATGAACTGTTACCTTCCATTTCATTCTATCTCAGGAAGTGTGCATGCACACAAAAATCTCATACCTTGCATAAAACTTTGTTGGTCTTAAAGGTGCTACTGAGCTCAAACTTTGGTCTATTTACTACTAAGTTAAAACAGTTACCAACAAAACTCCAGAGGACATCAGGATGTTAACTATGCACAAAAAGCAGAGCAGGCAGGAAGCAGCTAGTGAGAAGAACTGTCAATAGTAGCAACAGAAGTATTTGAAAGCCTCAGAAATAAAGTTCATACAGACAGGGCCTATTTATTGTTAAGTTTACAGCACTTAAATGTAGGCAGCATTTTATAACTTCTGCCATTATATAATAAGGTAAAGGTAGATCTCAGTACAAAAACGATGATAATGTTGACCAAGGCATTAGCTATAGAATGTGAGAGTTTACCCCCCCCCCCAGGTTTAGGACTGCAAAACAGCAGATTCTGAAATGTTGGGTGGACTAAGGCCAGTTGACAAACTTTGCCCTCATCTTTTTATTCTGCCTGTATACATTGGAAATAATGATACATTGGAAACAATGCTATGCCTTGACCTGGATAGACCAGGCAGCCTGATCTTGTCAGATATCAGAAGCTAAGCAGAGTCAGCCCTGGTCAGGCCCGGCTTGCTCTCTAGGCGAGCTAAACTCTCGCCTAGAGCGCAGGGTCATCATGGGGGCGCCAAAAGCTCCCCGCCAAAAGCCCCACGCTCATGCCAAAAGCGCCGTGCACCCTGGCCACCGCCACCTCTTTGCCCACCAGCCCCTGCATGACTTTCTGGGCACATGCTGCTTCAGCGCACCCCTTCGCTGCTCTTTCCGCTGGGAAATGGGAACCCAGGGCGGCCATGGGGAGCTGAGCAGCCGCAAGGTCACTGCTCTGGGCTGGCCTTTCCCTGCTGGGAGGTGAGTCCCACCACCTAGCAGAGTGGAATGCCTGCCCCTCTGGCACCCAGGAGGGTGGCAGCCAGGCCAGTCCCTCAAGCAGTCAGGGGCATGGGGGAGGCGGAGGAGGCTGGGGGTTGGTTTCCGGCCCATCTGCCCTGGAAGGTGACGGCGGTGGAGATGTCTTCTGGCCAGACCCACCGCCCCCCATCCCAGAGGCCCACCACCAACCCCCCAGCCCAGCAGCCGGCCCTCCCCAAAGCCCGCACATCTGGCCGGCAAGAGCCTTGGGCGCTTCCCGGGACCAAGGCCACTCGCCTGCCTCAGCACCGCCACCCCCCGCCTGCGGAGGGCAAGACTGGGTTGCGCGAGAAAGGAGACGCGGGTGGTGGGGGCGGGGAAGTGAGGCTCCCTCGGAGCTGTGGAGTCCTGGGAGCGAAAATTCTCCTTGGTGAGCTGCTGGCATGAAAGTGGTGAGCGGGCGATTTGGCTGTGGCAGGAATGAGTGCGCACGGGGGGGGGGGCGCCAGAAGGGATTCTTGCCTAGGGGGCAAAATAAGCCGGGGCCAGCCCTGGCCCTGGTTAGTATTTGGATGGGAGACAACCAAGGAATGCAAGGTTGCTGTGCAGAGGCAGACGGGCAAACCACCTGTGAAGGTCTTTTGCCTTGAAAATCCTATGGGCTTGCCATAATGGCTGAAAAGAAAGGTTAGCGCCAATGAGCTATTTTTGAGTAATGAAAAATATCCTGAGCTACTCTTCCGGCATCTTACCAAGTCCTAGAAACAGAATGTGAACTAAGAAGGGCACCAGAAATGAAGCCATCAGCTAAGCAGCCCAGAGAAAAATCCAATGAAATAAAGCTTCTTTTAAAACAAGCTGAGAGCAGATATTTCCCTGGGTTTTCTAAGGAGATGCACAAGCTGCTCTGTAGCAGTCAGTGATGGACTGATAGCTCACAAATTATCTGTTGGAAACCCCTGATCTATCTAACCCCAGCCATTTGATGCCTCACCAGTGGAGTGTATAGTAAAAACTAGCATATAATTCTTCCTCTAAAGTAGACTGACTCACCAATTGCAATCCCCATTTTCAGACCAGCTGTCTGAATTGTGGGGTTTAGAGGTGGTTCCTAACTTCCATTTCTCTGGAGGGCAGGGTATGAGATTATGGCAGATCTTTAGCAACACATTATACTGATATGTATGTTATTCTGTTTATGCTTCTGCTTTAGAAATGTAATTGCTTTTCAATTATAATAGTATTAGTTTTGATAGTGATATGTGAGGCTGCTGTCAGCAAATGTCTTCCTCTAAAGTATACTCACCAACTGCAGTCTGATTAATCCAGGCTTGATGGTTGCTGCTTTCCTCCAGCTGCAGGCCCTTTCTGTACACAGGACCAATTTTGTCCTCCATAAATGGTGTGTCAAATGAATTTGTGTTCAGAGACTTAATGCTAAAACTCAACATTTCTTCTAAAAGCATCCCCAAGAATAATCTGAAAGCTGCAATGTTTTAGGCATGAGTTTTAATTATTTGTCCAAGTGATGCCGTCAGCCCCAGTCAGCTTCTGCCTTTCAAGAAAGTCTCAAAGTATTGCGGAGGCAAGGAATTTTGCCAATCTCCTGGTGGGGCCTGGGAGATCTCTCAGAATTACAAATGATCTCCAGGCCACAGCAATAAATTCCTCTGGAGAAAATTCCTGCTTTTGAGAGTAAACTCTATGACATTAAACAGCACGGAGGTTGCTCCCCTCCCCAAGATGTGCTCTCCAAATCTCCACAAATTTCCCAAACCAGAGTTGGCAACCTTAGGTCGCGATCACATGCACAACTAGCCGCTCCATAGGTGTGAATTCCGGGTGGATTTAAAGGGCGCGATCAGACATGAACATCTGGGAAGTGCCCGGTACCCGTCAGCAACCCATTTTGCTCCAACGCAGAAGCGGAGTAAAAGACACCAGGGAAAGACCACTAGCAAATAGGTTGCTACAGGCTATGGACAGACTTTCCCCTGTCTGATCACTCCAGCCCGCTCTCATGGCATTGGGATGGTGTGATCAGGCCACCCCGACTCCGTGCCATTGTTTCTGCCCCCCTTCTCAGTATGCACATCATCACGCACTCCATAGGAAGCCCTCAGTGCTGAGATGCAATTCATCAATTCCCAGTTTAAGCTCATTGGGAACAAATGGCAAAAAAAAACCCCACCTGACTCACCTGCAGTTGCATCTGATCACACGGTGGCAGGCTGCCCCCCGCAGCTTCAAAGGACTGTGTGATTGCACAACTGCGGGTTAGATTCCTCCGGGGGAAATAGCCTCGCTTCCCCCCTGCATTATCTCGCGTGTGTGACCGCCACCTTAGTTTAGCATAATTTGCTGCTGATGAGATGACCGATAGCACATGTTCTGATAATGTTCTAAATAGGATCACGGGGGAGGGGGAATCAGGATCTTTAACTGGTCCAGAATAAAGGTGCCTAGTTATGGGGAGGAGTAAGCTGTTTTGATCATGTTGCACTGTCACTGTGCAGCTTTCCTGGCTCTCAGTTTGTTTCTGGGCCCAGTTGTGTTAATTAGCCTGAGCATAGCCAGAGCTGAAGCCTTTGGCATGAGCCAAATAGAAGAGCCAAAGATTCTTGGAATAAGCTGGGCCAGCAGATCCAGGACCTGCTTTAGATGAAGTATGGTTGGTTGGTTGGTCGGTCCCATTTGCTTATTTAAACATGGTTAAGTAAGCTGGTTTGGATCCCCATTGGAAAGAAAAGTGGGATAAATATTTAAATAAATAGGTTCACAATGCTGGTTTTACCCTTAAAACCGTAAATGTTTTGGAGCCAGTACAGCTAAAGGAAGTGCTATCTTTTACATAGACTTACGCATACAATCGTCATGTATAGAGAGAGTCAGCTTGCTAAACTTTTCCATGTCATCAGAAGTACAGTAGGTAGTGATTTGAGAAGTTCTCTTCTCAGTGACAGTAGAAGCAATAGAGAATGATCTCCTCCAAGAAGTACATTTTTCTCCATCCCTTTTGGTTTTTCAGAATCTTGGTCAAAACATTAGACTGCATCCAGGAGGAGCAGATAGGAAAGTATTTTCAATTTTCAATGGAAGCCGGGAGTCAAGAAAGCTGGTTTTTGGAGGCAGAAATCCTTCAGTCCATGAAAATGATCCATTGGATTCAAGCTGAGGATGGTCTTCCGTTTGCTTTATTTATTTTATTTCAGTGATGTTTTTCCAGTGGTTTGATAGCTAGGTGTTCATTTCTATATTATTTTATTGATCCTTTCCCCTCTCCCTTTATTGATTTCATTATCCTGTTGATGTTTTAATGGTATGTTTTATTGGTTTTGTATGCTACTCTGGGGCCCAGCAAAGCTTTTGACTGTGTGGATCATGAAAAGCTATGGTTGGCTTTAAAGGAAATGGGTGTGCCACACCATTTGATTGTTTTGATGTACAATCTGTACTCTGGACAAGAGACCACTGTTAGGACAGAATATGGAGAAACAGAATGATTTCCAATTGGCAAAGGGGTCAGGCAAGGATGTATTTTATTTCCCTGTCTCTTCCATTTGTATGCAGAACACATCATAAAGAAAGCTTGATTAGGTTTAGATGAAACTGAAGTGAAATTGGTAGAAGGAATATAAGCAATCTGAGATACGCAGATGACACCACATTATTGGCAGAAAACAGTGAAGACTTGAAATGACTACTGATGAAGGTTAAAGCAGAAAGTGCCAAAGCAGGATTACAGCTGAAATTCAAGAAGACAAAAGTAATGACTACTGTGGGATTACGCAGCTTTAAGATTGATGAAGAAGGAATTGAAATATTTCAAGATTTTCTGACTTCCAGTTTTCGGCGACTTGCGAAAGAACGCACGCCATCAAGCTCCGATGGATGCGATTCAGATCGAGGTGGCAGGGACAGGGTTCGGAAGTCTTCGACCCCCCCATGAAGCTCTTGAAGGGAGCTTCTAGCCTGGAGCGCTGGAGGAACCGCTCCTGAAGCCACGGCTGAAGGATTGAGGCTCTTTTTTGCTCCTGAAGGTCCTGCTGCCCCGAAGCCAGCAATGGTGCCCAAAGATGTTACCGGACCAGAGCGCACAAGGACTCAAGCAAAGGACTCTCCCTATGGGAGGACATCTAGCGAAAAACAACAACAACAGTGAGTTAATGAGTTGCAAAAGAAAGACAAAAGTATAGAGGGTCGAAGACCTGACAGTGAGATGGCAAAGCCCCATAGAGAAAGGGGGGGAAACTCTCAGGAGGAAGAACCCTACCCTATAGCGCAAAAAGCAGCGACACAGGAAGCAAGCCTACAACAAGCTGTTAGAAACCTACCCAACTAAAGCGGATTGCAGCGGGACTCGTTATTCAGCTCAGAGAAAAATTTTGGAACCTTAAGAACTTTTACCTCAATGTAAACAATGTCGCAACGTGGGGCACCACAGGAAGTGCCAGCACATCATCACCGGTCACAAGACTGGAAACTACCACCAACTTAGCTGGTACGATTTCTGAAGCCTTGCGCCCCCTGCTGGATCAGCTGACAAACCTGAACAAAAAGTTTGACGATTTGCAGAAGGAGTTGAAGGAGACCAAAGATAAATAAAAGAAGATGGTCAAAAAGCTAATACAGGTTGAAACTAAGACCAAAGAGATGGATCAAAGAATGGACATTGCTGAAAGAGAAAGCGCTTCTGAAAAACAACAATTATTAACATTGCAAGTAGAAAGATCCTTATATGTTTTAAGATTTCAAGGGGTACTGGAGAAAAAAGATGAAAATTTAAGGGAAATCTTAAGCGAAGTATTGGCCCCCTTGATTAACAGCAAATCTGAAATATTGCAAGCAGACATAGCCATGATTTATAGAACTTATTCAGAGTTTGTGAAGAAAAATAATCTTCCAGGGGAAATATTTGTTAAATTTGCAAAAAGATCAACACGAAACTCGATACTTAAAGCATCTACTGCCACAACATTAAAAAACCAAGAGGAAGAGAT